CAGTAAACCGACCCAACCCGACCCGTGAACAGCCCTAGGAAAAGAGAGAGAGAGAGAGAGAGCAAACTCACCACCGCAGTTCAGTGGTGGTGTTGGTGTCGAGTTCGCCTATGAGAGGGTTCACTAGTTCCTGAGAGTTGAGACCTAAGAGGCTGAAAGGATAAGAATGAGATGAGTGAGTAGTCGATTTAGGATTATTAGGGTTTAAAGGGGATATAAAAGTCGGGCCAGGCTTTTGTGACAAATCTTGAGCCCTACCCGTAAAATAGTCGGGCTCAAGATTTTAGGCATGAGGTCAAGCCCGCGGGCTAAAGTCCATGCACAAGCCTGTCCAGGGGCCGGCCCATTGGGCTACCTAGCCCATAAACAGGTCTAGCTGCAACCCAGTCTACCTTACCCAACCCCAGATAGGCCACAGACCACTACGCCCTGGTCCAGCCCATGCATAGGCCAGATAGGCCACTACCTAATCCACCCGAGCCAGGCCCAAATATAGGTCATACAATTTACATAAATTTCCCAATGATAGTACGGGAGAGGTTCCCACTATGATATTCTCGATGTGCGATAGGATGCTGTATGCACAGAATTTTTTATTGCAGGAGAACTAGGCAATCTAGGCTTTCACACATATAACATCGTTTTGGTCAATGGATCATGGGTGTAATTGTTTGTCTTGTTCTCACTGCTTGGCTTATTGACTTTTATTCTTAATAAAAAAATATATACAAATGCTTCAGATCATTTCAAAGTTATTTACATGAAAATAAGTGCAGAATAAATATATGCTATAACATCTGATTACACTTGTCGTTAGGTCTCTTTGAGGAATTCAACATTTGTAAGTGGGCATTTAATGCTGCCAAACAATTCATTCTTATAAATTTTGTGATTATAAGAATCATTTTCAAATTTGGATGTACATAAATTATTGGAACCAATTTTCTTTTGGCTCAAAAAATCATTTTAATGTATAAGGCCATGTTTGGTTTAACCCTCATTTTTGTCCATTCTTTCCAACAGCAAAATTTTAGAATGGATAAAAATAGGTAAAAATTAGGCAGAATGAGAAAATGCTGCCACAAACCAAATGCTTTTTTAAAAAAAAAAATCGTTTTGTGGCAAAGATGAGAATAAAATTTGAACATGTTTAATAAATTTCAATTTTGTTCTATTTTCATAAGCCAAAATAATTATATAAGTATAGATACAATACTCAATAATAAATATATAGTGGAAACCTGCAAGACCCACACCAACAAAACACAAATCAACCATGAGGACCCCACATCAATAACACAAATTATGAAAAAAAAAACTAGAAAAGCTTTTGCATTTGGTTGCATAGAAAAATATAAGAGAAAATTTAAAGGAAGCAATTGACACCTATTTAAAGTAATTACTGGATTGAGTAGGCAATTGTGCAAATGAAGAAAAGATCTTTGAACAAGGGGTGCAAATGGACTCGATCATGATGATTTGACTCAAATTCGAATTGGATCCTATTTTGTTAGATTTGTATCCCCTTGTCAAATATATTGCATTTTTATAATTTGATTTTTTTTTATATTATTTATGTTGTTTTATAAAAATACATGTATATGACAAAAATTAAGAAAAAAACTGTGTTTTTTGTTTTTCTTTATATAGGTTGTTTTGTTTCTTTTTTTTTTCTTGTAATAGTTTGATAAATTTTACATACCTATGGGTAATTAAATAGATCAAATTGGATTTGGATATCCAACATCCTTAGCAATTTTGAATCCGAATTCATCTTTGTGAGATCCCTCGAATCATTGGATCGGATATAGGATTAATATTATCCAATCAAACTGGGATATACCCCTATCCAAATTCAATTCAATTTGTTTACGTCTCTACTTGAAACTTTTGAATAAAAATGAAATTTAAAATTATAAAATTAAAATAAAATAATAACATGAATTAGTATAAAATTTTTAACAAATTCAGCAAGTTGGTATGTTCAATAACAAAATATACTAAGAAAGTCATAAAATACAATAAAAGATCATATAATCAGGTCCTATATTACTTGTTTTCGATTTTCAAAAAATATTTCTGTTGGCAGTAGCCATAAACTGCTAGCCTAGGTCTCCAAAACTGTTGGAATAGATTTCTACTAGCAAATGGCTTGCGGATAATGATCATCGACATAAGTTTTTATGGCAACCCGCCCATAAACATCTAAGCCAAATATTTTGTAGACCTAGTCCAGCAGTTTATAACTGCTAGCATAAAGCTTCATTGAGAATTGAAAATGAGCTACATGATACACGATTATTTTTCATGTTGCAAGTTACTTCAATTTTTGTGTCATTGGCTGATTTTTTGTTGCAATTAAAAAGAATGAGGACCATGGCAAGAATTTTGTAATGAAACACTCTAATGTTATTCATTCTTGCCCAAAATGAATAAAAATTGAAAGAATAAGGCCTAGAATAATGAACCAAACATGGCCTAAGAATTAATTCTTTGGAGTTAAAAAATTTAACTTCGAAAAGAATCAATTTGAGCTCAAAACTCACTTTTCAAATAGTTACTCTTTAGAATGAAATTTTAACCAGACATCATAAAAAAACCATTCTAAGGTAACTTCTAACTATTCTGTTCTTTTTGTGGGTTTTGGTGCTTAGGTGGTGTTTGATACCATTGTCATTTCTTGAGAAATGTTTTCTTAGAAAACGTCCATGTAATGGTAGACTGTTCTCTCACGGTCATGTATTTTGTTTGGTATTTTTGTTGCCACCTAAGCTGATGCAACAAAATTGTACATGTTTTTCTCTTTGGTAAGACATGTTTTATCATTGTTTTCTTATAAAATGACATGATATTTTTGTCACGTTTTTTTTTTTTTACTATTTAAAAAAACGGCTTACCAAAATGGAAGATGACATTGTTTATGCAAAAATGTCGAATTTACATCTATACAAGATTGTATAAATTTCCCTACCTTTTCCTTCTTTTTCTTTATCTTTTCTTTCAGAGCAAAACACAACCTATGTAGCACAATTTTCTTAAAAAATGGCAATAGTACCAAATATCCCCTTAATTTGCTAACTTATTAATCCACATACAACAAATCCTTTAGAAAGCCATAAAGAATATTATCTTTTGTTCTTTGTTTTTTATTATTATGTTTACCTAACAAATGCATTTAAATTATTTTTGATTCATGAAATATTAAAAAAAGCAAAGTTATTTTGGTGACTTGGTCCATCGACCATCACTTTTTTAAAATGTTGATATGACTTTTGGGTCACATCACTTTTTTATGCATCACGTCCATTAAATTTTAAAATGTTAATATGATAACTTAGGTGGTGTATGGTTTCATTGACATGTTTTATGATAGTCATGAGAAAATGGCAATGTGTGGAGGTCTTGATTCCATTGTCGTTTTAATGAGAAAATGACACCACATCAGAGTTGCATCAGCTCAACCCAAGTTCAATCCTAAGAATTTGGTTTAATACCGAGCCTAAGTTTAACCCAAATACAATGGTCTTGGTTCCATTGTGTATATATATATATATATATATACTTTCAACATTTTGAGAAAGTATAAAATGTCAAAAATGATGTTTCCTGAAGTGGACTGTTTTTTGAGAATTGGGAGATGAGACTTTTTTAGCCGTTTTCCCAAAAACGACTAACCGAATAGCACATCACAATGGTTTCTGAGAATATCTGATGCAGCTCTAACATGATATTGTTTTCTTAGAAAAGGATAATGGAACCAAATGGTCATTGCATTTTGAATTGATTGATACAAATTACTATTTCTACCAAAAACTCCAAATTTGATATTTCTCTGATGCAGCAAAACATTTTTCTCACAAATTTATGTTGAATAACTCAAAATATAACAACAATACAACACCATTATACCAAATACCCCTTAGAAATATGGACAAATCAATAAATCAATTTTCTTACCAAACATCACCTTTTCATTTTATAATTATACTTCTTTTCTTTTGATTTCTGGGGAGAGTTATCCCAGGCTTGAGGCTTTTGTACCTCAACTCTCTTCAAACGTCACGTTTTCATTTTATAATTGAACTTCTTTTGAGAAAAAAAAAAGGAATTATTTTCAATGTGATTTATAAGGAAGACCTACCCAGGGATTCCAGATCTCCTACCCATGAAAACTCTATCAACAAAACACACTCACGGTGTATTACAAATATCTTCTAATGATTAATGATTAATGGAAGGTTCTCCATGTGTAATTACGATGATATATGGGTAGACATGGATAAAAAATCTGTGCCCCACACAAAGTGCCCTATATGCAATATTTGAGCGTGCAGAAAAAATCTCTGAATACTTGTCATTGAGAGATATCTCAGTGTGAATTGGGAACATCTCTAGTACTTATTATTAAGAGATGTTCCTGGATGTGCTGTGAGCCATTTGTGGGGCGTGTGATTTATGGAGAAGAATTGAAGAACTACCCTGAGCTTGTGTCTCACATAACAATGAAAAAAATAAACACAAAAGGAAAAAGAACCATATTTAGTGTGATATCTGGGGAAGAACTACCCAGGCTTGAGTACCTAATCTTCTCTAAGAAGCATCTTCAATGTTATTTTTCAATACGATTACCCGACCATTCTGAAATTAAGAATAAGAAGACCTAACCTACCCGCCCCCAACGACAACGTCCCTATCTACGTTAATATGCCACCGGCTCCGGCGCAACCAACGCTTGTCAGGCCTGGCTGAGAGAGACTCGCTAACTGACATACTGGACAAGGTTGTTTGGTGCACTTCACCCAATCCTGATCAATGAGACTATTTTTCTAGATTTAACCTATATTTGTATTACGACAAGACGCTCTGATCCCACATTTTATCCCATGATTATCCATCATTGTAATGTAACTAGTACGAAAGATGCATTAATCCCATGGTTGATTTACTTTTTTTCTAGACCAGAACAACAATTTTCCCATAATTAATTAGGAGGCAGGGAATAAAAATAACGTCTGAAAATCACACACTTAAAATTTAAAATAAACATCCCCCCGGCAATCAAATTACAATCTCTGGTGATAATGAAAAAGCAAAACAAGAACAGATTGTAAACTGTAGATGTACAGAGAATGAGAGAATGCCCTTCTGTATGTCAAGAGTCTTCAATTTCATCGCACCCCACAGTCATCAACAACAATTCAATGCGTTTGACCTCCTATCAGAAGCAGGCGTCCAGAAGGCAACAACAGCAAAGAGCAGCCAAACTGCACCAACAACATCAACAAAATTTAGGTTCAAACTCCAGACCGTTTTCCGAGAGTAAATCATGCACGATTTATTAATCACACGCACAGAACCCTTAAGAGGCTGAGGTTAGGTCCATCCTCCATATCCTGTGGCCGTGTCCACCGCTGATAATATCTTATACGTGGCAAAATATTTTCTCTCGTGTGTCCCCACAATTGTGGTGGATGCATATAGAATACTAGATTGGAGAATAGGTTGCTTCGTGACTCGACTCGACTATTGAATTGAACCCTTTTTTTTCGAGATGTTAAATGAAATATAACAAGTTTCATATGAACGCGATGTGATTTGAGAGTTTGCCGGAAACGAGAGAAACTTGGGTTCTCAGTCGTCTTGTCTTGTGAATTCGAATGTTAAATTCTCGAGCAGAGGAACAGGAAATCAATCCCACACATCCTCCACCGACACTCACAGGACTTGCATAAACGCCTGAATCTGACGTCGATGCTTTCTGATTTTAACTCTAGGGCTACGTTTGCTTTGAAAGAATAATACAAGAGAGAAACAGAAATCAGAAGGGAAATTTACAAGGAATTTCACAAATTTTGTTAAGAACACTCATTTGACTTTGTTTCTCTCTTATTTTCTATCAAACCAAGCATAGACTAAGGGCGATCAAAAAGGGAGGAGAGAGAAAGTTTACCATCCTTCCAGTAAGCCGGCTCCCTGTTGTCGTTGCGGTGGTGGTTGAGCGTACTGCGGAGGGTAGCCTTGCGGAGGGTATCCCTGAGGGGGGTACCCCTGTGGATAACCTTGTGCAGGATAACCGGGTGGAGGATAAGCATCCTTGGAGTAGCTTTCAGGAGGATATCCTGGAGCCCAAAAAAGAAAAAAAAGTATCCAAGAATCGAAGTCAAAAACCTCATCTGTTTTCAAATCTAATCAACAAGTAACAAATCAACTCGCAGTCTGATACCAGAAAAAAAAAATAACGAAGAAAAGAAAAAGATCGAACAAAGAAATGAAAGAGACCAAAAGAAAGAAGGAAAGATAGTGCCCGAAGAAAAAACAGAGGAAAACAGGAGGGAGAGACAACCGGTACCTTGAGGAGGAGGAACGCCAACGGGAGGCTGTTGCTGGTTGTAATAACTCATCCCTACTGATGATTCGCTCGCTTGCTTGCTTCTTGCTGGATTACGATTTACGAAAAACGAACTTAGATTTGAGGGAAGGCGGTATATAATTTATAGAGAAGGAAAAACCTAGGAGAAAGAAATCGGATGTAACGAAGCTTCCTTTTATTGGCTATGACGCGCTTTACCTTATTTAATTCGTGTACAAACCGCGTAGGGACCAGCGAAGAGTTGACTGGACCACGGATCGGCTGGTTATAAACGCTTCCCACAACCGTCGGCACTTTACATCAAAACCGCACATTAAGAACATCCCTCAGTGAATGATATAGTATAGTGCAAGAAATATTCCCTATGTGCGGCTGTAGATGCAATGTATATATGTTTGGTGATCAGCAGATTGGGCTCGTAGAACCGACCTAAGGTAGCAGTCAAGAAAACCATCGATAAATAATTTTTTTTTTATATACGAAATTACCTTTTTTTTTTAATCTTGTAAAATTAATTGGATATGATATATCTTGTAAGAGGCCTCACTTATGATGATGAGTCCACTAGACAAAGCTTATCGTTAATTATGCTTCCTTGCATTAATTTTGCCGTTTTAAGATTTTGTGAGGATAATTAAATAATTAAATTTGTATAATGCGAATTATCTGAGAATCAAAGGCTGATTTTGTAAATCTCACCCACACAAGATTTTTTCTTTTTAAACACACTACTCTGTTTTAACTTTTTTTTTTTCCTGTTTTGTTGCTCGAACTCAGAGAGAGAGAGAGAGAGCATGGTTGAATTCATGGTCTGCTTGATAGTGAAGAATTAATGTCTCCATAAATAATGGATTTTTTTTTTTTAAATCATGGAGAGGGTGTCTTATTAGTGAATCAGATTTTAAAGAGGCCAGGGGCTCTTTAATGAGTAAAGCTGAAGTTAGATACGCTATTACACCTTTTTAATTATTTTATTTACTAAAAAATAATGCAATAAGTGATTCAGTTCAACAATTTTGTTTTTTCTTTTTGATTAGGTGTGAGTAGGTGTTTTGCATCGATGCCGTTGCTTTATAGATATTTTTTGAGAAAGAAAATTGTCTAAAACTCACCATGAGTTTTTAGAATTTTTTTTTTTAAATATCAATACAACTTTTTAAAATATCTAAAATTCACCATTATCACTAAATTGACGTTAAGCAGACTAACGGGTGTTAATATATTATCATTTTAATCATCATAGAAAAATATAAAATATATACAAAATAAATTAATGGGAGTTAATATATTACCATTTTTATATTTAAACATGGAAAAAAATTTCAAAAATATAAAATACATAAAAACATAGAAATTACAAAAAATATAAAAAGTTATAAAAATTTCAAACAAAACAAAAAGTTATTTTCAAATTATAGAAATTGAAAACAAAATCAGAAAATAAAAATTGTAGAAAAAACACCAAAAATTATAGAAAAAACAGAAATTACAAATAAATAACAAAAAAGACACATGAAATTTTATAGATTGTAGAAAATAGAAAAAGTAAAAAAAAAAAACAGAAAATTGGCCATGAAATTATTATTTATGCTGACATGGACACCTCTATTAAGAAGCATTAACGGTGCAATAATGGAATGTGGGATTTGGAAAAGAAAAACTTATCGACATTGTGAGTTTTAGACATTTTGAAAAGTTGTGGTGAGTTTAAGGAAAATGTTAAAAACTCATGGTGAGTTTTAGACAATTTCCCTTTGAGAAAACGGTGTTGTATGCATGAGGATCTGTTGCACCATTTTCTCATAAAAATGCTCATTTTTTTTTACATCAGCAAAAACAGCACTGGTTTTGTTTGGTAGCAGTGTTGTATAACCATTTTAAGCATTTGTCTACATTATCCAATGCCCAAGATGATGTTGCATTGATGCCATGTCATTGCACTGCTACCAGCAACAGCTAAAAAGTTCAGTTATACAACGAGCTGTTGTATAACCATTTTAAGCATTTGTCTACATTACCAATCAGCTGATTGGCACTACGGTCCTTAATGTTACCAACGGAATATAAAAGGAAAATGAGTTGTCATTGTCATTGGATCCGGTCCTTAATCTAAAATGATGAATCCATATCCGCATCAATTGCATGTTACAAAATCCAAACCAAAATTTCCCTTTAACTATGTATTAGATTAGATAAGATTGGGCCCTCAATTGAAGAAGTCCATCGTTACGCAAGGTGTTACAGTATACTCCCATTTTTTATACAAAGATTTTATTTTCAAGTCTTAAATAAGTTTCCTTTCATTTTATCGATGGTCCCACTGAATAATCTCCTCTAAAGACTTATTCAATTGTTAAGAGCATCTTCATATGAGGTGGGTTGTTGAGTCACGAAGGTTAGTGGTGATAATAAAGGGTGTATTCTGACTGAGCTGAGTCAAATATCTAGTTATTTGAGTTCAGGTAGTCAAAAAATTATGAGGTTCGAATTTGATTTGAGTTAGAGAGTTGAGCTCAATTTGGTTAGACTCAATAGTCCATAAATTCGAGCTCGACTATGAAATGCACATGCACATGTTTTGTTAAGAGAAAGTTAAACAATAGAAATACATAAGATTAGACAATTGTTTTATATTTAAATTTTTTAGATAATTAACAATTATTTATATTGTATATACTATTTTTAATATTTTTTTATAATACAAAAGTAATAATTAATTTCAGCTATGACTATTTATCAAACCAATGAAACTGACTAACTTGACCCAACTCAAGCTGAGTTGGTCGATTTTCTAGAATTTCTGGTCAGCTTTGGTTCAACTATTTTCCAACAGACCAAGTTGGGTCAATTTCGGTTTGACCATTTGTAAACCAACCAAAATCAAATCGACTTGACCATATTTATATATTAATATTTTATATCTTAAATATAATTTTTCTAATATGGAAAAGTGCGAAAGTTTCCATATTTCTTAGTCTAAAATATTTTATATTATAAATTTAAAATTTTTAATATATTTTTTCAATAATATCGATATAATTTTTTAAATTTAAATTTTCTTTATGTTTAAATCTTTTGAACCAACTGACCAAACCAAAAATTGGCCCAAACTAATAGAACCCGAGTTGGCCAGTTTTCACTAATGGTTAGTCAGTTTCAGGTGACCAACTCTCCAATCCGACCAAGTCGGTTTGGTTGGCCAGATAGTCTGCAACTGAACTGACATGGCTCATGGACACTCCTAATTTCAGTTAAATTAATAGTTAAATCTCTAATAAATAACAATAGATTAATCTTCAATAATTATTGATAATTTATAGCAAAAATACACAATTACTAAAAATAAATTTATAACAAAAATATAATAAATAAATAATAAAAATACAATAATTACAAAATAAATACTAAAACATTTAACTTTTTATTATTTAAAAGTTATTACATAATATTAAATATTTTGTAATATAATTATTTAGATATTTTTAATATATTTTATTTAAAAATTTTAGTTATTAAAATATTTGAAAATATTTAAACTTCTTAAACTTTTATTATTTAAAAATAAATTTAAATAATTTTTATTATATAGTTATTAAATAATTTATTATATAACTATTTAGTTATTTTTAATATTTTTTATTTAAAATAATTTTTAATTGAAATATTTAAATAAAATTTAAATAATTTCGTTACTAAAATTTTTATTCCGTAAAATTATAATTTATATTGTTATTACATAATTTCAATATGAATTTCATAAAAATATAAAATTATTAATAATCCAAACACTATTAAATCTATTATAATTATTTTTTAATAAATATTCTAAAATTATTACATTATTTTGTTATAGTATTTAACTAATTTTTAAAATTTTTAATTCAAACTTTCTTTAGATAGATATAGATGAAAAGTGTGGGAGAGGATAAATAGGAATTAGAGATAAGGGAAATTGGTGAAAACTCACCATGAGTTTTCAACATTTCTATTAAACTCACCACAACTTTTTGAAATGTCTAAAACTCACTATGTTAGTAAGTTTTTATTTTCCAAAACTCACTGTCCATTAGTGCACCATTAATGCTTCTTAACAGAGGTTTCATGTCAGCATAAATAACAATTTTTATGACCAAATTACCCTTGATGGTGAGTTAGATGAAAAATGGTCTTTTCAGTTTTCAATTTTCTTGTTTTCTTTTTTTTGCATTTTTAATGTTTTGTTATAATTTCTAATGTTTTTTATAATTTCTGTTATTATACATTTTCTATTTTCTACAATCTATAATTTTCCTGTAATTTTGTTATTTATTTATTACAATTTCTGTGTTTTTCTATAAGTTCTATTTTTTTCTACAATTTTTATTTTCTGATTTTTTTTCAATTTCTATAGTTTCTATAATTTGAAAATATTTCTTTATTTTGTTTGCAGTTTCTATAAATTTTTATATTTTTCTAATTTCTATGTTTTTATGTATTTTATATTTGAAAATACTTTTCTGAACTTTTTTTCCTTTTTTCATGTCTAAATATTAAAATGGTAATATATTAACACTCATTAATTTATTTTGTATATATTTTATATTTTTCAATGAAGGTTAAAATGATAATATATTAACGCCCATTAGTCTCTTTAACGTCAAGTTAGTGACATGGTGAGTTTTAGACATTTTGAAAAGTTGTGGTGAGTTTAAGAGAAATGTTGAAAACTCATGACAAGTTTTAGACAATTTCCCTAGAGATAATTTAGGAGAGAAAGTCTTTCCTAAATTAGAGATAACTTAAGAGATAAAAATAGGAGTTAGAGATAGTGAGAGATAATCTAGGAGAAAGTAGGTGATAGTGGCTAGATTTGGCATGTAAGATAGATTAAGAGGTGTTTTAGGATGAATTTTAGGATAGAGAGATAGCTTAGGAGAAATTTTAGGAGGGGATTATCTAAGTGATTAAGAACATGAGAGAGGAGTTGGAGTGGGAACTCTATTGAAGAGGAAAGGATGCCATGTGGCTAGATGGAAGGGTTGGGAAGGGGTAAGTAAGGGAAGAAGGAGAAAGAGTTAAGGAGAAGCCAAGATTGGATAATGGAGCAAGGAGAGGGCTAATGACATGGCCTATATATATAGGGATAATTGCTCTAAGCTCACGCATCAACCCAACCCGACTTGCAGCCCTAAGCTCAGGCATAATTGCTCCATGACCTAGTTTATTACCCCATAACTTTTGCTGAATGAGATGCAATTTTTTGGTGATTTGGTGAACGAAATTTGCTTTAGGACTTAAAAAAATCAGACTTAATCAAGGCAACTAGATGATGATAATTCATTATTCATTAGGTGACTTCATTAACTAAAACAAAACAATGTCTGTGTGAGCAATGATGATAATGAACATAACCTTACATTCTTTTTTTTTTTTTCTTCTTCTTTTTGAAGCCAAATAGGTAATTTCAATCAAGCAGAAAAATTAGTACACACCACAGTCCTTAAAAATGATAGATCGCAGAAAATCTGGACATTCAGACCAAGTAAAGCAAAAAGAAATTGAGCAACCATGCTGAGCTAGGACATGTGCTGCTTCATTTGTAACCTGAGGGTATAGTTGACTTGTACCTGGGTGAAAAAATTATACATAAGAGTCCTACAGTCCTCAATTAAGGTACGAATACATCAGGTAGGTTCAATAGAATTATCCATTACGATTTGAACAATAATAATTGTATCACCCTCTAAAATAAATGAAGAAAAGCCCAAAGTATATGCTAAAATTAAGCCTTCTTTGAAACCATGTGCTTCAACTTCTTGCACATCCCTAAACGGAGAATGAATTGATCTACCCAAGATGAAATCTCCCTGAGCATTACAGATAGTAATTCCAATGCCTCTAGAAGTTGCATGACAGGCCCCGTCTACATTGATTTTAACCATACCCTCCGGTGGCTTCAATCAAGTATCCACTCTTGGAGCACTACCAATTAGGATACGGATATATTGCGATTTTTGAAATTTACTTGCCTCCCTTCTTTCTTCTTTCTAATTTATATATTGATTAGTAGAATATTTTTCTTAATCTTCTAGATTTAAAATCGTCCCACCAAATACATTAAATACCCGAAATGTCCATTGAGAGAAAATTTAAAAAGCAATTAAATAGCCCCATATTGTGGAAGTTGGACTGGCTTAGGAACCCAACATGTTGAACCCCCAACCCTAACCCTAATCCAATCCTAAAATTTCGGGTGGGTTCAAATTGAGTTTGGGTTGGGTTCCGGTTGGTCTCACACTAACCCAGCCCAAGTTGCAGCCCTACCCATGAATCAGGAAAAAAACTGTTCAGAGTATGGTTATCGAGCTTTTAGTCTTTGGTTGTTTTGTAGTATAAATCTGAACTGGATATAAAATTTGCAGTTGCATACATTTGCTTGTATTTGTGATTTTCACTCTTATCTGATATAAAGTTTTTTTTTTTTTTAATGTTTTGTATTCAAAAAACTGATGCAAAATTTGCACCACCATCCTCCTGCCTCAATCCTTTCTTATATATAAGCAGGGGACAACATTTGCATTTATATCAAAACCAGAACTTACACTCGTCCCATTTGCATTTATATCAATGTAGATGAAATTGGCAATGCAAACAAATTGAGCGTTATGGTAGGTGACAAGAGACAAGTCAGCAAGAAAATATGGTACCATTAACTTTTTTATCTTTCATTTCCCATAGGACGAATAAAAAGATAAAAATCTTGAATTAGAACCTGCGCGATTGACACCGACTCACAACCACATCCCACCACCCTGTATTGGAAGCATCTCTCAAGAATGATAAGTATTAGTATCGAAGACATTCTCAATTAAGCTAAGGGCAGTGTATTCGGTCGTTGCAGAGAGAGACTAAACACTGCCCTGGAAAATGACTTGTAAAAAACACAAAACTAAAAAGATTTGCAGTTTGAAGAGGTGGGGTTCGATTATGAGTTATCATCGACATCTTCAGCTACAATTAATTTATCTTTTCCTGAGTTTCTTCCGCGAGTTTAATGGGCGTGGGTATCCTAGTGGGGTAACGTTGGTGGATACAGTAAACGCCAAAACCTAACCAGAATTTTCTCATTGAAACAAGTTTTTTACTTTTTACCTCCGGGAAAATATTATCACCAAATCTGACACATTTTTTTTTCTACAATCCATCTATGGAGGAGGATAAAGACAAGTTTATATTATGACAACTTAGTAGCAGGTTTAATTCGTTGATGATTATGTATAATTACAGCCATTATAAGGTACAAAGACTGAAGGATGTTCTATTGAGATAATGTATGTAAGGAAAAAGAAAAAAAAAAAAAAAACAGGAACGTACAGAATGACAAAGGCAGAAGAAAAAAGACATACAACGATACAGTCCTTTGTTGTGATTGAGGAGGTCCGAAGCCAAGGGAGTAAGGAAAAGACGATTGAGAAAAGAGTAGATGGGGGTGGGAGCGTGCGTGGGAACTAGGGAAAGAGGTTTAAGATCCGACCTCTGCAATGCTGTGCAAGGCTGGCCTCCATTGGCTACCGCCACCACCATGCTGCCTCCCCATTGCTCTGCTAGGTCCGGCGCCGCTGTTGCTACTACTTGGGCGGTGAACGAACTGCTCCACCTGAAACCATGAAAACCATGCATAAATTGCCAACCCAAGTAATTTAACAAACAATTAATGGGTATGCAGCATGCTGGGTCCTTTTAAATTTTAATCCTACTACTCATGTCATGAATTAATCAAAATCCTCAAACTTCAAACACCCGTTCCACTTATTTCTCCCGGCCGGGATCCCCTTCTATGTTTCGGAAACCTCATACATCATACTGAACCATCCAATAACGGTTGAAACCAAAAAGAGAACACTAATTATTATAATAACCAGAAAACCGGCTAGCTTTAGTTATAGAATTAGAGAGGTAGGGCCAAACCAATCGAGGCAACACGGCAAGTTGAACAACCAGCCGGCCGGACTTGTAGTGTATGTGGGTAAAGGTCTACGTAAATGTAACCTGGTCACAACAGTTGGAAAAGTATATCCAGCCATCCTCGTTGTGGACCATAAACCCATTATGATCCACATGGTCCTGAAGTCGTGAGTTGATTGCTTAATTATCTTAATAATTATGATCATTAAAGCTGTTTGAAAACTTTACAACGAGTAATGGAAACAGTACCCAACTTTTAAGTAGATGGGTTATTATGATGGGTCTCATAAATAGTTAAAGTCCAAATACCATAGCCCATAGTCACTAGTCAGTTGGGGTGATTCCTTTATTAAAATAAACCACACACGTATCCTACCTACCTTACCAACTCATAAAACCGTACCCCTCCAATTCTCAAAACTACAGATTTGTCATTTATCTTCCACTGTCAGACGACGACAATTTGCTCTTTCCTTTCTAAAGTTTAGCATACAGTAAGTGAATTCGATCTAACCTATTGATCGGTGTGCAGGGATGTGATACCATCAAAACGCTCTCAGCAACGTCCGAACAAGTCAATGCAGCTGTACATTGGGAATGTGCGATTAAGATGGCCAATTGGGACAGTGTTGTGGGACGTTTTTGGGGCGCGTTCCGTGGGGACAGATGTGAACTTCCTTTAGATTTATCTAATTTCATGATCGCCAAAGGATATGGCGTTTCAGTTCACTAATTACTACCCTGATGTAAACCAGGATACCCACCTTGGAAAGTTGCGACCCACCTTGGGAGTATAGATGCCTTACGTCTTTTATGGGGAGTAAACAGTAAAAAGAAAGATGAAAGAAGAGAGGATGATGGACAGGAAAAGACGTGAAAGCACTGAGAAAGGGTTATTCCCCATTTCCATTTTCCCATGCTTATCACAATCTCAGATCCCCGCACCCGCAGAGACAGAGACAGAGACAGAGACAAAGAGAGTTTTACCGAAAGCAGCAGAATGACGGAATTACCCGTCGAAGTCTATCCAATTTACGGAAGAGGATGAGAGTCGGACAGGTTACTTGCCTTGGCCGGACTTGATTTTTCAGGCGTGGAAATGGAGATGGACGACGACCTAGAATCTCCTCCATGCCTCCGCCTGTTCTCAAGTCGTCCTGTCTCTTTAAGCAATTTTCCAAGTTTCACGCTCTTTTTGGCTGCAAACTCCTTTAACACCTCTATAATTTAAATTCACCACATAACAAAACAATAATATTAGTAACTATATATATTATAAACCAATAATTCACACAACTTACCTGGATGCTCAAAAATTTAAAATTACCTTGGAAACTGATAAGCCGATAAACCTGACCGATGTGGAGGGTATCATCAGGTCGGAGGAGCTTCAGCTGCCTTACCGGAATCCCATTCTCCGTCTTGACAGTGGGAGAGGGAATGACGAGAGCAACGTAGTGTCCGGGATTCGAAGCCATGACCTCACGTGCACTCACCGACCAGTAGATCCTCTCTATCTTGCTCCCTGGGTGTTGAATCACCACCGTCGCCGCCTCTGCTGCCTGGCAGTTTCCCATCCCTTCCTTCTTACTCCTCTGCTCAGTACAAGTATATATATATATATATATATTTATCTCTGTGCCTGTGCCTCGACGGCTTCGATTTCTTTAGGAGAGATGTTGAACTCCGATAAAACTCTCAAACCTACTACCATGAAAGTTGAAACCGCAGAGTTTATGCTCGAGGCTCGAGGGCTTTCACGACAAAACCGACTGTTCTCTTTTCCACACTAGGCTTAATGATAGCGAAAATAATAATAAGAATAATAATAATAATCTTTTCCAAACAGAGACCTCGATCATCAATTGCGTTTACGAAAATGCGTGCGCTTCTTTCTTTTTCCCTTATTCGAACCTGTCACATACATGATGCATATTGAGATATCTGCATCTTAAAGCTCCGATCCTTCTCCCTATATTTTAGGATCCTCCGCCATTAATGAGACAGCGACGATTCCTTGCGGCTTTCGGATAATGAATCAATAGAGTCAAGCGCAAGCGATCGACGAGTTTTCGATATTTAGCGCTAATATATATAAATCCGAAAACGTTTTTTTCGTAGGACTAGGTGTGCTAAAAGATATTTCGTCCACTGATATTATAAAAATTCAGGACCTACATACAGAACAGCACAGACAGATAATAAAAGAGGAAAAAAACGAGAATAAAGGCTGGAACAGGAAGAAGAAATCCTTGTGCAATCGGAAAAAGGTTGGTTGAAGACACGCGACGTTTATCTATTATCAGGGCTTTTATAGAGAAAAGCTGAGAAAATACAAACAATAAAATATAACACTGTTTGCTTGACTCTATGGTTTTTCTTTTATTTTTCATATGTCATGATTTCTGGCAGTCTGGCACTGGAAATTGGGAAACACAATTTCGGGGATACGAGTCTACCAGAGTCGAGGGAGAGAGAGAGAGCGCTTATCTTTTCAATCTGTCTTGACATAGAAATAGAAATAGAAAGCTCATCATATCGTTCTAATGAACAATCAAATGGTGTGGACATCTATTCATAGTCTATTAAACCTAACAGGAACAGAGAGATAAGTTATTAGAATTTATGAATCCCAGTATTATCATGTTGTTTGTGACTGATTCGTACCAAAAACAAATAGGGTAAATTTCTTAAGTTAATTAGGTAAAATACAAAAACTTTCTCTCAAGTTTCAGAAAATCATAAAAATCTCTCCTATAATTTTGTTTTAACAAATACCTTCCCTGAAATTTTGAGAAACTCAATAAAAACTTTCCTGCCACGGTTTTGAGACGGAAAACATTAGATTAACGCACCAGATTTTATCAAACACCCATTTTACCCTTTTATAAATCATTTTACATATAAAATTACTAAAATAACCCTATTTTAACTCAACAAAAGCTTTTTTTAATGATGTTTTCAGTAATTTTATATACAAAATTACTGAAATATGTTTTTTTGTTGAGTTAAAATGGGATTATTTCAATAATTTGGTATGTAAAATAATTTATAAAAGGGTAGATGGGTATTTGAAAAAAACTGATGCATCAATTTAAAGTTTTTCATTTGGAATAGTGAGGAAGGGAGGTTTTTGTTGAATTTCTCAAAATTTCAGGGAAAATTTTTATGATTGTCAGAAACTTTAGGGAAGATTTTTGTATTTCACCCAAACTAATTTTATGATTTAGCAAGTTGATTAAATGTACCTTTACAAAGACTAACGGTACCCCCTTATTTAGGAGAGATGGTTCTGTCAAAGTACTGGCACCACCAGCATCTGTATACCAGCTACCAATTGAACGAAATGGGCATGGTGATCGGATGATGATTGCCTTCCGACAAGCGTATCGCCACTACAAGATGATATTGACGGCCTTGTTCGACTTAAAAAATTTCACCACCGACGTATTGCCCCTATAAGTGAAAGACATGATTCGTTGTGGCTACTTCACCGGATGTTAGTTCTCCTCTGGCTGAGGTTGTCCTGCTCTTGTAGCAAAGACAGGGCTTTGCCTACGCATGTAGGGAGCCTCGGTTGGAACCACCATATCTATGTTTCATCAATTAGAGTGGGATATGTATCATGCTTTTTAGGCCTATATGGATCAATATAGTAAAAAAAAACAAAGTAGGAAAAGGTTTTCGAGATTTAGCAAATTAAAACTTTTAATCCTCATCACAAGATTTATATTAACTTTCTATACTCTAGATACTTCTAAATCACCAAAGCAAAAAGAAATGAAAAATTGATCATAACTCAAAAAATTTTCAACATAAATATGCCTTATGCAAAATTTTAAAAAATAGATATGATTTTTTTTTTTCATTTTCTCATAATATGCACAAATGTTTTTGTGTTTTTTTCTTGAATGCATGAAAATGCTATATTGTGCATCTATAGATGATTAATTATATCCATATATTCATTAAAACGTATTGTCAAAAATTCATTTTTTAATTATTGTAACTTTTGGAATAAAAAATATAGAAATAATTATTTTAATAACAAAAAATTATTAATTACATATCCACTTAAAATTTGCATGAATGTACCTTTGGATGGTTGGATAGGAATATAGGATAATTGGACCCTTCTCCCTTAACAGCTATAATTAGATATTAGATTTTTTAACGAAAAATTGAAAAATAAATATAATTATATAAAGCCACTAAAAGAATTGCTTTTTATAATTAAGCTTGTAGTTATACTAAAAAATAATTACAAAATAATTACCTTAATACCAAAAGAATTACCAACTTAAAAGCTTAAGATACAAATTTAATGAAGAATTATCAACTTATAAACTTATAGTTATAGCTTTGTTAGAAGATTTTCATATGTTTTCATATCTTTACCTCATTTAAGACATACATTTAGTGTTATTGATGTATTTTTAAGATTTATTTAAGTTTTGGGTAAATTATAAAGACCCCCTGTACTATGGGGTTTGTGACAAAGACCCCCCTGTACTTTGTTTTGCGACAAAACCCCCCTATACTATGATCGTCAGACAAAGACCCCCTTATGTTAACTTTCCATTGAAATCCGTTGTCACAATATTTTTTAATCCCCATATTGCCCTTCTAATAATTATTCGTACAATTAGGAAAAAATACTGTTCATCTTCTTCCCCAAATTCACGATACACGAACAACAGCGGCGGAAGAAAAATCTGACTTTCTTTGATGAAAAATGTAGAACGTCTAATCTTCGGAAATGTCCGTTAACAAAGATCGACGTCTCGTCTTTCCAACAGCGAACATCAACGGCATCCAATTTCTGTTGGGCAGCGACAGAGGGACTTCGCTCATCAGATTTCAATCTCGGTCATACCACAGTGGCATCTGATTTAGAAACAGCCAAGCGATGAAGAGTCCCAGCTCTTCCGAACCCATATTCGACCCCGCCGAGATTGGGGTCAATTGGTGGTTGCTATAGAAATTATGGCTTCTGAACCCAGATTCCACTCGACTAGACCAGCTTTGTAGCAACGGTGATTGCTACAGAGGAGATGTTGGTGGACCAATGGACTGGTCTAGCGGTGGTGGTCGCCCTGTGGGGATGTCTGGAACACCTATACTTTCCATCTTTGTATTGATCACATGACATTATCCAAATTCTCAATTCCCATGTTAGCTCCGACAACACCAATCACAGGACATCATCCAAATCCTCAATTCCCATGTCAATCACTCCTTACCCTTTTTCTGAAAAGGAGTCACCCACGGTGAAGAATGACTTTGCCCACTTCCCCATCTCCAAATCAAAACCCACTATGGAGAATGGCTTCAGAATCATAAAATACAGGTGCCCATTATGGAATACCCCTTCCTGGTGAAAATTCTCTCTAAGAATATGGCAAAAGCCCTTGAATTGGCTCCATGAATTGGAGGTCGAGTCGTAAACAAAAACAAAATTCAAAAAGGACCTAGAAGAGAATACAACCATCTTGTATCAGCTTAACGAAAAGGGGACGAGAGAGACCGATTTGAATGAGAAAGGGTGGGTTAGAAACTCAAAGAGTCTCGAGTATCTAGATAGGGGATTTTGAACAAGGAAGGCAGATGAATCTGGGGGAGGAGCAGAGAAGGTCGTTGGAGGTGGAGACAAGGCAGGATGGTGTGCAGGACGAGGGTAGTTTGAGGGTGTGCCACATAGGCGGCTTAAAATCAAAGTGAATGAACTCATTGTAAATTTCAGGGTCAGAAAATAGAAGAAAAGAGAAGCGTGGATGAGTTTGGATTTTGTCTCCAACTCCAAGCTGGAAGAAGAGTGAACGGAGATAAAAAAGACAGAGAAGTGCAAAGAAATTGAAGTGCTTACAAGTAGAACAGAGACTCAAGAAGGTTTGAGAGGGAGGAAAGTTAGTATACGTTCAAGAAGCTCTTCCGACAACCTACTCCAGACTGCAGGCTTCATCTAAGTCACCCTCAGGTGAAGAATATGGTTTAAACTCGTACGTCTTTTTGCGAGAGCATGAGGCAATGAGGATGACATGTTACCCGATGGAACGGTGGTGAAGATGACTTCTAACGAAATAGGGTTGGAAGGTGTTGTCGCGGGAGGAAGAAAGGGGAGGAGAGACAGGGGAAGGGGAAGAAGAGAGATCGGGGGAGAAGGAGAGAGAGAAATGTGAAGGAATCTGAGGTAGAATGTTATTTGGTGTATCGTGAGTTTGGGGAAGAAGATAAACATTGTTTTTCTCCTAATTGTACGAATAGTTATTAGAAGGGTAATATGGAGATTAAAAAATATTGTAACGGCGGATTTCAATGGAAAGTTAACAGAAGGGGGTCTTTGTCTCACGGTCATAGTATAGGGGGGTCTTTACCGCAAAACAAAGTACAGGGGGTCTTTGTCACAAACCCCATAAGTGTTTGGCATCAATAATGTTACCGTATTTGTTACCTAAGACCTGTTTTCTCAGAAAATTGTTCTGCATATATGTGAGGTTTAAGCACCCGTCTTTTTCAGAAAATGGTATTTATTTTTTATTTGGCTTTAGTGCTGTTAGCTATTAGGACATTTTCTGGAAAAATAACAACAGCATCTGTTTGGTACCGATGATCTATAGTCATTTTTAGCATTGGTACCTATTATCCAATGCCACATCACTGCCATATCATGTTACCGTTGGCAGCAATGGGCAGGAATCTCAAAAAATGTTGTATTTGACATTTCCTTAGATCATACCTTCCCGATTTTTAAGACACAGTCGTTTTCTTTTTGTTTTCTGAAAAAACAGAACTTAACAGTTACCCATTTTCTACAAACAACATTTTTTTTTGACATGATGCCGTTTTTTGGGGCAATGGACATCAATGCCAAACACCGCCCTAATGGGAGTGTTCTGCAATCTGCAATCACGTTGAGAAATGCAAACCCGAACCACTGTCAAATAAGCAGGTGCTCTTTGTCCAACCGATACAGTTTAAGCAAATGTTTATTAGCACAGGAAAAGGTGAGGTAGCTAGCTAGCTGCATGATTAATTAATTCGTCTATGTGGTGTGTGTGAAAAACGAGTATATATTGTTTAGCAAGTGGACGTGGAGAGCGGTCAGTGGTGACGGAACAACCTGGAGGGGGAAAGTGTGATTGATTGATTAATAATGCCTCAAAGGGATTCTTTTAATGATTTGCGTGTGCGAGCATTAAGCTGGCTTCCAGGGTTTTACTCCGCCAAAACCCGGCAATGAGAAACCCTCCCGTTTCTTTTTTTTTTTTTGCATTACTAGTAAGGATTAAAGCATTGGTATCGGAGAAATTGGAATATGGATATATTTTGAAAATATATGGATATAGAACAAAAAAAAATGAAAAATTGGAAATATATGGATACGCTAGAGAAATATATACAAATTTCATAAATATATTAATAACATTAAATTTAAGATCAAAATAATCACAAAATAGTATATAAATACATAAAAATGTAAATATTAAGGATATATATGAAGAAATATATTACGATTAATAAAATGGGATGCATAATTTTATTTATAGTGCATCAATTA